TCAGTTCCCAGCACATGCAACGGCAGCTCAAAACTGTAACTTCAGTTCCAGGGGATCTGATACTGTTTTCTAACCTCTGTAGGCACCGGGACCACATGTGGTACACATACACACATGCAGGTAAAACATTCATACACATGAATTAAATATTTAAAATGTCTAACACTTTTTCTATCCCTTAGCTGCTGTGGGATAATCCTTCTGTATGCTGTGAAAATGTATTAGTCACATTAGCTGATAATAAAGCCGATTTGGCCCATAGCAAGGAAGAATAAGGCTAGGAGGGAAAGCCAGACAAAAAATACAGAGAGGAAGAGGGGCAGAGTCAGAGAGAGATGCAAGCAGCTGCCAGGGAAGCAAGATGCAAGAGGACAGGTAAGGCCATGAATCATGTGACAAAATAGAGATTAATACAGATGGGTTAATTTAAGTTAAAAGAACTAGTTAGTAATAAGCCTGAGCTATAGGCTGAGCATTCTGTAATTAATAGGAGCTTTTGTGTGTTTATTTGGGACTGGGCAGCCAGCACAGAAGAAAAGCTCCACCTTTTACACTTAGCCCTTGCTTCACTAAGAAAGCAAAGGCAGCGAGACAAGAATGTCCATTTCCATCGCCTATGTTTACCTCTCCTGTTTCATGAGTCCAAGCTGTACTTGACCTGAGAGAAGGGTCTCACCTCCCCCTGCTCTAGGCCCTCTCCTATTCCATCTTGTCCAGTCATCATTCCCTCCCTTGAAACAGAAGCTTCTCTGCCTCTCTAGCCTGCCATTCCAAGCAATAGACAGCAATGCTGGCTCTCCCATCCACTTAATCGGGGAAGAATTGCCAGACTTGACATAGTAGGGAACAAGAGGGCCTTGACATCTTCTAGGTAGAGTATCAAAATCCCATTTAAAAACCAAATGGCACACACACCTAGCCTCCAAGACTCTGAATGCTCAAACACTTCAGAGGATAAACTACTCTGGGGAAACATAGCAACATCCTGTCTCAAAGAACAAGACTACCAACCTAACTTCCTGAACTCTATTTCCTCTCCAGCTGCTATCCAACCTCTCCATAGTGACACTCAATGGACACTGAGTTTATTTTTGCATCTCCTTTGCTTTCTTAAATACACTGGGGTCAGATGATCACAACAGTCTATTGTATAACTTCACTTGGGCCAGCACCTGACATCCAATGACTTACTCATGAAGTCATCTTGCCACAGTACTCCCAGGACAGCCTCCACTAGCTTTCTCCCTCATTAACTACCTCCTCCCAGTGTTCAGTGATGACAATGGAGTCTTGCCATGATCCAGGCAAGACCTCTTCCATCTCTACTGACCAAGCTTAGCAGAGAGATGCTATCTACTGCTGAAAACGTTTTGTTTGTTTGTTTGTTTGTTTGTTTTTTTCCTCCTGCAACTGGGCTCTTTCCCAAATTCCACATTTGACTATCTCTCAACCTGATGCTTTCATAGGTTTTCAAACTTCAGGTGTCAACCTTCTTACTTCTGCTAAATCTGTCCCTTCTGTAGTGAGATCTCCATCGACCTGTATTTGCTCAGGCCAGAACTGTGCAAAAGTCCTTGGTTCCCTTTACTTTTATTCATTCCCCACATCTAATCCACTAGCAGACCTGTAGGCCAGGTCACTGCCATCCTCTACTTCCTCCCAACTCTGCCAACTTCATGTTCTCTCTCTCTCTCTCTCTCTCTCTCTCTCTCTCTCTCTCTCTTTTTTCGAGACAGGGTTTCTCTGTTTTCCTTTGGAGCATGTCCTGGAACTCGCTCTGTAGACAGGCTTGGAACTCAGAGAGATACACCTGCCTCTGCCTCCCAAGTGCTGGGGATTAAAGGTGTGTGCCACCAATGCCTGGCTCTACTAATATTTCTTAACACACAAGGGTGACAATCTTCTAACCTCTCTCCATTGCTTTGCTACAGAGTCAGTAGGATGACCCTTTAAAAGCAAATGGAATGGTGACTTTCTATTTAAAAACCTTCAAGGCTCCCCTATCCCCCTACCACCAGCATTTTCTCCAAGCAGGCAAATGAAATAGCAGGAACACTTGAGTCACTTACTAGGCATTTGAGTCCAAATTTTCCCAGCACTCCTTCTAAGAGCTAGCTGTTTCCAGGGGCCACTGCTCTACTCTGCTCCCTGAAAGCTTCAAGCTTCAAAACCACTGACGCTATAGCAAGGCAGTGCTGCCAGTCTGCTGCACCAGAGTCCAAGGCAACCCAGCCAGCCATGGTGTTAGAAAGGACCTGCACCGTGACACGTGTGTCACAGAGGATGGCTGCGCTACTTACAGAGTGGAGACAGAGCAGAAAAGAAACTAAACCAGCCAACATCACTAGCCCAGTCAGGAGCGAAGCAAAGGTTCAAATTCAGACCTGGCACCCACACAGAGTCCACTTCCTGCTTTGAGAGACCATATCCTTTGTAAATACAAGTTGGTTTTACAGGATATTTTGCTTAGGGATGGCCAGAATCAGTACTATGAGAAATTTGCATGTTGGAACTTAATGTCTGAAAAAAGGGTAAAATGGACAAGTGGTTTCTGTCTTAGAAATCACTGATACCTTCTGATCTTTACTATTTTATGTACCATTAAGGATTCTATGCATTATGTAGAATTCAGGGTATTATGCACGTTAGGCAAGTAAGTGCCTTACCAATGAGCTACACCTCAGCCCCTGATACCATACTTAAAATGACTATGCTACCATGAAACAAACTTGCATCTGTTCACAAGAATAGCTTAAAACCATTGGTGACTTTTTTTTGATTTTTCAAGACAGGGTTTCTCTGTGTAGCCCTAGCTATCCTAGAACTAGCTCTATAGACCAGGCTGGCTTCCAACTCACAGAGATCTACCTGCCTCTACCTCCTGAGTGCTGGGATTAAACGTGTGTGCCACCACTGCCCAGCTTATAGATTCTTATTTTAAGAAAAGTTTCTTAAATAAAATATATCTGCTTGAAGAAATGCTTATCTCAAAATCAGCAAATTGGAGGCTAGAGAGATAGCTTAGCAATTAAGAGCACTGGCTACTCTTCCAGAGGACCTGGGCTCAATTCCCAGCAGTTCATAACTCTGTAGCTCCAGTTCTAGGAGATCCAATGCCCTCTGCTGGCTTCTGAGTGCACCAGGCACACAGACGACGGACAGACTTACATACAGACAAAACATCCATACACATAAAATAAAACAGGAGTGGGCAAGTTTGCATAGCTTCAGCTATTCAAGTGAGCCTCAACACCTGCCTCCTTAGAAGCCTGTGCAGCTGTGCAGGTGCTTCTGCAGCTGTGCAAGTAGCTGGATGCCACTCGTGCAAAGCAGGTTTGTATCATGTTCCCCTCACAATCATCCATAAGTTTACCAGAGGCAGCAGCTGGCTGTCCTCTTGGAACTCTTCTGATGGCTGCCCCTGGAACCTGCACACAAGGTCTCCTGCTGACAAGAACAAGCTTCTTTTCCCAGCAAGCCCAGGAGCCTTTTAGCAGCCATCTTCCACAAGTCAAAAAAGGAGGACTCTCTGATACACCTCAGGGACACCATTCTGCCCTGGCCTGCTGCTTCTCTGGCCTTCCTTCCACCTCCAGATTAGATCATAGTCTCATGGGGGCCTTTCTCAGCTCTGCTCTCTCTCCATCATCCCCCTAATTATTCCAGAACCAGGAGTGTCCAAAGCTAAGTGTACCGGCTTGTGAAGTTTCTCTATAACTCCCATGAAGTATTAAAACAGATGCAAGGCCACATCCACAACAGAAACAAAGTTCTGCTCCCTGCTAATAGGACATGAAGCACTGCCTTAAAACTCGGTGTGTAAGCGAGGCATGGTAGCTCATGCCTTTAATCCCAGCACTCAGGATCTCTGTGAGTTTGAGGCCAGCCTGGTCCTCAGAACTAGTTCCAGGACAGGTAGGGCTACACCGAGAAACCCTGTCTCAAAAAATCACCACCATCACCAAAACCCTTTAGTGTGTGTATGTGTGTGTGTGTGGGGGGGGATCTGATTTCTTCGTGAGCAGAAGACTTTTTTTCTCTCATTCATTGGGATGGGTCTCAGAGGAATGATGTCTGAGAGTGTACAGGGTGACTATAAATACCAGCTCCTCCTGGAAACTGCTTGCATTTAGTTTAGAGCCTACTCCTGCTAAAAACCCACAGGAAAGCTCAGCGTACTAATCAGGCCCTGGGGACTCCAGGACCACAGTGGAGCAGGATGCAATGTGGGTTAAATGTCCCTAGCATCATCACAGAGATATCACAGACGTTGACTCACAAACTTCTGACTGAAAAGCTTCGTGGAAAAGCTAGGACAGCTTGGCTGACACTTGACTCCACCTGGGAATCCTCCTTCAGGTCACATGGAGTTGATTTTGCCCAACACGCACATTATCTGAGACCCCTGAAGTACTGGGGTTCCTGTAGGGCATCTCCTCCAGCAGAGGCCGAAAAGCCTGCGGGAAGTCAGGAGGGCAAGGTCCAAGAACAGATGCTCGCACCTGCACTCCATCACCTGAGCAGCCAGCTTTGCAGCGGTTAAAGGAAACCTTAGCTGCAGGCGCCGAGGCTGAGTGTGCAACCCGAGGCCTCTATGTCCTCGGGTGACGGGTCCAAATATCTACCACACCCAGGTCAGCGAGGAAAAGATGTAGGGCTCGGCCCGAACGAAGAGAGGAGCTGCAGACACCTGCAAGAGCGAACCGCATCCGGGCCCGGAACACCAACCGAATCGCGAATCCCGCTGGCCACGAGTCCGCCTGCCCGCCCGCGCCAGTAACGATACCCCACTCACCCGGAGCCCGGCGACAAGAGGGCAGCGCGGAACCAAGCCAAACCGCACCGAGCCGCTCAGACCCGGGTGGCCACAAAGCCCACACCGCCCTGCACGCCTCGGCCGGAAGCTGCCGGAGGCCCCGCCCGGAGGACGTCCGTAGCCGCTCTAGGATGAGAGTGGGGACCAGAGCCTTCTCCGTGCCAGACTTCCGGCCCAGACCACTGCTTCCAGCCAAGGGACCCAGTACGCAGACGCGGCGCTGAGGAATTGTTTGCACAAGTAGGTGTGGGGTCAGCGGCGATACCCAGCAGTAGATGTCGCCATGCTTCCCTGGAAGAGCTGGGAAATGGGAAAGGCAGGCCCTCTACAAAGATTGTAGTGAAGGTTTCTTATTGGTTGTGGTGGTGTTGGTTCTGTTTGGGGCTTTTGGTTTTAGTTTGGGGGGAGGGGGGGTTAAAACATCTTTTATTGTATGTGGTCGAAGGACAACTGAGCCACTGTGCCGGAGAAACATCGATCTAACTGTGTAATAAGCCACTGGAGACTCCAGAGTAGTGAAATCAAGGCAGTATATAAAATGACCTTGCCAAGTCAGGTGAAACCCTAGAACGCAAAGCTCACTGAGACAGGGAGCTCTGTCTGTCTGTCTGTCTGTCTGTCTGTCTGTCTGTCTTTGTGTTTTGCCTGTGTGTATGTGTGTGCACCGTGTTTGTGCTTGGTGCTCATGTGTTGTACCCAGATTTCGGAAACCCAAAAGAACCCGCCGCCAAGGAGACGTTGGACAAAAGTTTCTTTATTGACTCAAGGATACGAGCTGCAGCAAGGACCCCATTCGTTCGGGAACAAGTGGAGTACCCACTTTCGACTGAGGGTTTTGTCTTGTTTTGTTTTGGTTTTTTTTAAGATTTTATTTATTATGTATACAGTCTTCTGCCTGCATGTCAGCAGAGGGCACCAGATCTTATTCAAAGTAGTTGTGAGCCACCATGTGGTTGCTGGGAATTGAACTCAGGACCTCTGAAAGAACAGTCAGTGCTCTTAACCGCTGAGCCATCTCTCCAGCCCGAGGGGTGTTTTTATAAGGCAAAACTGTAGGTCTGGAAGCTCAAATATTACAAAACATCCCTGGTTACACAGGACAGGACAGTGATTGTATGCTTCAGGCAAGGTGCAATTAAGCAGGATGCTGCAGAGAAAATGAGTTTGTTGATTATCTCCTCGGCCAGGGACTTCTACAATTGACAACTATCTGATCCTTTTTGGACTAGAGGAATGTCCACACAGCTCAAGGGTGTGATATCTGGTCTAAAGCCTTGAGTCTTGTGGACCTTTGTTTAACCTTGTCTGTTGGGCTGCCTTTTGGGAACTCAGAGAAGCTTAAGAGATTTTCTATTTGGGCTTTGGAGTCCGAGTTTTAGACTTTTATTAGTTTTTCCCTTTCACATGGAAGCCAGAAGAGGGCACTGAAAAGTTTCACCCTGATAAGCTTCTCGGCCGATGCAACAATCCAATCAAACCGAATTAGAAAAGGCCACATTTAATGGATACAACACTCCCGGATCTTCCAGCACCCCAGAGAGGAGATGGGAAAGGGAGACTGGAAAAACCACGAGTCTATTTTCTGAGAGGCAGTTTAAATACCCTGTGGGAGTGGTCCTGAGCATCTCTGGGGGAGGGGGCATCATTTGGTGGGCTTTCTGAGATGCAGCAGGGTCTGGAGGGAGATGGGGGAGGGGGACTTGGGTGGAACCTCCACCATAACAGGCACCAGATCCCCTGATACTAGAGTTTTAGACACAGGTGTTAGCTGCCATGTTGGTGCTGGAAATTGAACCAGGATCCTTTGGAAGAGCAACTGTAAGGCGTCTTTTTCCTGTCCCTCCAGATAGATCCCAAATGATAACACAGAGACTTCTTATTGAAGGTCCCAGACCCTCACCTAGCACCCTGCTTTGGCAGCCATGACAGGCTGCAGAAAGACCCAGCAAGTTGCAGGCCCCTGGCACAGCAGGATGTGCTGAGCCCCCTGACTTTGTCCAGCCTTGCCCTAATTCCTGGGAAGAAGTTGCCAGATACCCTCCATGTGGTAAGGAACCAATCAGAAGTTAGCTGGCAGGCTCTGGATGTGCTTTACTGATAATAGTGGAACGAAGTAGGTAGCAATGGCCCTAGGGTGGCTTCCAGGCACAGCAACCTTTCTGCAGCTGCAGCTGACCAATCGACTCAGGACAGGTTCCCCCGCCCGGAGGTGCACCAGGATGGAGGACCCAAGTTAACTCGTAATTAAAAAGACTATTTGCTTTTGCATAGGATCTGGTTGGTCTCTTGATGGTTTTGGGGGTTGAGTCTGGGCACAACACTTTGTGAAAGCCCAGCCTGTATCTTAGGCTTGTTCCTAACTAGCTCTTACAACTTAAACTAACCCCTTTATGGTAATCTACATTCTTTCATGTGTTGCCTCTCTTCTATCTTGCACATTCTGTTTCCTCTCCATATTCCTGGTGTCTCCTGCAGGCCTCGATTCCTCCTCCTCTTCCTTTCTCTCCCCGGAAATCCCATCTATACGCCCTGCCTAACTATTAGCTGGTCAGCTTTTTATTACACCAATCACAGCAAATACATCTTCACACAGTATCCAACTATCCAACAACAAGCAACGAGTATTCTTAACTGCTGACCCATCTCCCCAGAAGAGCATGCCTTTTTTGTTATGGTATGGGTATTTTGCTGGCATGTATGTCATAGCCCGAGGATGCCAGAAAAGGATCAGTTCTTTGAAAAGCATGGGCTCCAACTCCATCCACTCTTTGTGCCTCCAAAGCAAGCACTTTACTGACTGAGCTACCTCCCTGGTCCTAACCCAGGCTTTCAATGGCGAAAGGGTGGGTGCAAGCTTCGAAACTTGTGGTAAATAATCCAGTGTCTTCTGAAGTTGGACTTGTGCTGTGGTCATAATGTATCTGCCTCAGTTATCTGAGATCTTACAAGTGTTTAAAAAGCCCCACAGTAAGCTGGGCGTTGGTGGCGCATGCCTTTAATCCTGGCACTCAGGAGGCAGAAGCAGGAGGATCTCTGTGAGTTTGAGGCCAGCCTGTTCTGCAGAGTTCTAGGACATCCAGGGCTACACAGAGGAGCCCTGTCTCAAAAAACAAAAACAAAAGGAGGAGGAAGAGGAGGAGAAGCAGCAGCAACAGCAGCATCAGCAAAGAGGGCTGGAGAGATGGCTCAGAGGTTAAGAGCATTCCTGCATTCTCCATTACAATAATGGTGCCTGAAGACACCAAAATGTAAATTACTTCACAGGCGCTGGGTAATCTCCATTCCTTTGATCTCTGCCTATCCCGTGGCTCATTTGGCCTGAGGAGCTGAAGCCATTCATAGGGTAACACGTCCCAGGCGGCTTGCCAGCCTTTATTAAGGAATGGGATTCTTGGTTCAGGGTCTCCGCTCTGGTAAGCTTATGCTCTCCCAACTCTCAAGATGCATTAAAGCTTGTCTGCAGAAGGATCCGAGTGTCCTGCCGGCGAGAACATACAGCGCGCGGGACAGCTCAGAGGTTAAGAGCACCGGCTGCTCTTCCAGAGGTCCTGAGTTCAATTCCCAGCAACCACATGGTGGCTCACAACCATCCCTTATGAGATCTGGTGCCCTCTTCTGGTGTGCAGGCATGCATGTAGATAGCGCACTTGTATACACACAAAATATATAAATCTTAAAGATAGAAGAAAAGGAAAAGCATCATAGTTGCCACAGGTGTAGTCTGACTGGCTGCCCAAGAGGGGCTGCTTTAAAAGTTCTCCACTCCAGAAGCTAGACTCTATAATCTAGCACTTGACAATTAAGAATTCAATTCAGTGCCCGCCCAGTATCTTACCTTATTTATAGGAAAAATAAATATTAAATGGGATGATTAGCAGCTGGGCATGCCTTGGGTGGATCTATGTGAGTTCAAGACCAGCCTTGTGTACACAGGTAGTTCTGGGCTAGCCAAAGCTACATAGTGACATCCTGTCTCAGAAAAAAGAAAAGTGTGTGTGGGGGGAATGATTATAGTAAATCATTATTAAACAATATGGTAGCAATACTAAAGCTTGTGCCCAAGATGTTTTAGATGGGGTCTGGGACTAGATCTCTGCTCTAGAGATAACCAGCCCTGAAGCTCCCAACACATCTTGCCAGTCAGGCCCAAAGACAGCTTCTTCTCTGGAGAAGAGCAGTCCAGCAGGCTCAGCATCACCCCAGCTAGAAATGCACTAAATTAGGATCCTAGAGAATTTAGGTAAGGGCTTTCCACTCTGGAGGGATCTTTTCTACACAGCAAGATCTTTGAAAGACCTGCATGCCAACCCTTTGGAATGTAATTGGAAAAGATGGGTTCCAAGTCTGTCAGTGTGGAAAGTTGCTCATGCTCCAATAAATGACCCTACATTCATGCTTATGGAAGCAATCCTAATTATATTCAAGGAGTCACTAAAAAGACACAAAATTAGGAGGGGGCTTGTTTGGAAGAAGGGGCTCAGAGAGTAGGGGGGATAGGGGAAGCTAATGAATGTGAATTAAATAAAAATACATTGTATACATGCATTAAATCATCAAGCAGTAAATAAAAGATGTTGAAATATTTGCTCCAGAGAGAGGCTCCTTAAGGCTTGGGAAGCAAACAACTCACAGGTCTTACGACATCCCTAAAACCAAATTCATAAGATTATATAAGCAGTAAGGATAGCTGAGGAGGGGATACCTGCCCAGCTAACCACAAATCATGCAGAGAGCTCCAGGGTTTCAGTTTTCCTGAGTCATCACTCATGCTGGGGTGAGTTTTTTAATGCTGTACTCCTGCAAGTAACCCCAATAAACTCATTGGTTCTCAAAGTTGAAGGGGATGTCAGAGAACAGTTACTAATTGAACTCCTACCCACGCTTGTCATTCCTATCAGCTTTCTGTTTCTGTCTCTCCAGCCTTTTGGAACTCCTTGAACTCTGATGTAGCCTCTTTAAACCGTTGTAGACATGCAGACAGATTAACTGTGGGATGTATAATCTGTAACCTCAAAGTTAATAGTCATAGCTAAGGTTAGAATAAAGTAACTTGTGTTTGCTTTGGCTCACTATCAAGGGAATTAGGACTACTTGGCATATTGCTCCCAATGAAATCACTATGCTTTTTGAATTTATTATTGTCTGATAAATTCTGATATTGTGGAAAAACACAAGTGTGCCAGTTCTCTCTTTCTACAATTTATTTGGGTTTGGGGGTTGAACTCAGGTCATCAGGCTTGTTGGCTCTCTATCCTCAGCCTATGTCTGTATTTTTAAATCAACACTACCAACCCAGTTGATATACATGTGATTAGCTAAATTCATTCATCTGTTGTCCTACTGACATCCTCATAACCAACATATAATACATATGTATAGATATTTACATTTTATATGAACGCATATATGCATACATATTATATATATGCGTATCAGATATACATAACCTATACAGATTGTATGCGCGCGTATGTTTTATAACGAAAATTTAAAATATCAGCCAAAGGGACCCGTGGCAGAATTATAGGGTTCTTTTGTTTGTTTGGTTCTGTTTTTTTCCCCCGTGTAGACCTGGCTGTCCTGGAACTCGCTCTGTACACCAGGCTGGCCTCAAACTCACAGATACACCTACCTCTGCCTTCCGAGTACCGATTAAAGGAGTGCGCCACCATCTCCCGGCGGTAGGAGAGATTTTATTCACTGCTTTAAAATACTCTATTCAGGTAAAAAGAATGCGAGTCTTCTGTGAATTCTTAGCTGAAACACACAACTAATCACTTAAGAGGCTTGGCGCGGGACGCTGGCTCAGCCAGGACAAGGTGCATGGCCGCTCAAATACATCCTTCGTTGCAGGATAAGAAATAGAGATTCCTGGTCAGCACACTACTGCGCTGCGGGACCTGTGTCGGTGTAACTATCAGAGTGTGTTTAAGTGGGCGTTACAGTGCCCGCGGCCAAAGCCAGAGCACCCCCGCCACGCCCACGGAACTCGGTTTCCCAGACGGCTGCGAGGCCCGGAAGATATTTCCCAGAAGCTCCCGTGCCGCACTGGTGCATGACGAAGACTCCATTTCCCAGAATTCCCCGGGACGGCCCCGCCCCCTCCACCTGGACCGAGAGTAGCTGGAGAATTGTGCACCGGAAGTAGCTCTTGGACTGGTGGAACCCTGCGCAGGTGAGGCTACCGGGTGGAAGAAGCTCAGCAAACTAGGGACCCCACAGGTTAGTCGAGGCTATAAGAGTGCGAATGGCATCGGAGGGCTTCGTAGGCTTGAGCTGGGTGGCCTGCAAGATCGGGGACCACGGTGTGTGGGAGCCGGACCCTTATTCATCTGGGTGATGGTGGAGCCATGGGACTGGGACAGAGCCATCCTTCAGGGGCCGTAGCATATTTTGTTCCCGAGGCCTTCCAGGGGATGTACTCTGCCCTAGAAAAACTAGGCTTCCCTAGGCCATTGCTGTCAGCTCAGCACTAGTGGGTATCGGGCTCCAAGCCCGGGCACCACCACTTGTCTGTCTGTGGAGAGTGAGCGTTGGGGAGAAGCAGCCTTTACAATATGTGTGTGCCCAGAACTGCCAGCCCTGATTTTTCAGTCGTAGGGATGAGATGTATCTTTCCTCTACCTAGTAGGCTCATGACTTGGAACCAAGCTGCTTTGGTTTGGATAGTAGCCAGCAGGAACCTCTGGCGCCCGGGCAAAGGACTTAGGGAAACAGAGCAGGGTGTGTCCGGCCGCCATTCGTCACTCTTTGAGAGTTTGATTTTGTGCCTGTTGCCCATTGGCTCAAGAGAATGGGGTGGGGAGAACAGCACATCCTATATCCTCCTTAGCTCACAACATTTGGCCCTCCAGGTGCAGCAACAATGGGTGAGCCCCAGGGATCCAGGAGGATCCTAGTGACAGGGGGCTCTGGACTGGTGGGCAGAGCTATCCAGAAGGTGGTCGCAGATGGCGCTGGCTTACCCGGAGAGGAATGGGTGTTTGTCTCCTCCAAAGATGCAGATCTGACGTGAGTTGGAACCATATTCAGACCCAACCCCTCCTCCTGGTTCCCTCTCCAGGCTGAAGAGTGTCCTGTTGGGTCTGTTCCTGAGCTAGCAGTAGCCCTCCCTGAGTCTGGGTCCGCCCTGCTAGGTGACTGATCTGGCTGTGTTTGCTGCCTGTACTAAGCAAACATCCTCCTCCTATAGTTCCGGGTGCCCACACCGAATACCTGCTAAAGCCCTGAACTGGCTACTTGTCCCTTTGGCTGCCTTTCTAGCCTTAGACCCGCCCAGGTTTGCACCACTGCCCCATCTCCTAACTCCTGATTTCCTCAGGCCTCACTAGCCTCCCCCCCCCCATATCCTGGCTTCCCTCAGGGATGCAGCACAAACCCAAGCCCTGTTCCAGAAGGTACAGCCCACCCATGTCATCCATCTTGCTGCAATGGTAGGAGGCCTTTTCCGGAATATCAAATACAACTTGGATTTCTGGGTAAGTGGGGGTGATAAGGACAACAAGCATTGGGAGCCAAGAGCTCAGACTCTTGGAACTTGCACAGATTCACCCCCAAGAAGTCCCTGAGGACTGGTTTTGCACGACCCTGGGGTCATTTAGCCAACTGCTGACCTGCAGGATTGGGAAGCTGAAAAAAGCCAGAATACACTATGTAACTGGAGGCAGGTCCCTGCTTATTGAGCCTGCCTGGCTGCCAGATTCTTGAATTCCCAGGCTTGGTTCATTCAGCTCCCTGAATCTACCAACCATCCCGGGTGTTGGAGTGTCTCTAGCATGTACCTTAGGAGGAAGGGCAAAACATAAGACCTCTGCTTCTGCTGACTGTGCTCCTTAGAGCTGACCCACCTGCATCTGCCTCTGTGCAGTGGCTTTGTCCTAGCTGGCCTGACTAGACACAGCAGCTTGCAAAGGTTCCCACCGGATTTTTCCCACGGACTCTGTCACCCAAAGCTCTCCTTGACCATCCTAGTGTTTTCAGCAAACTGCTTGGTCACTACCTCTTCCCTGTTCTTAGACCAGCAAGCCTCATATCAGTTTAGGGAAGAGAGCTGGAGAAGGGCAGGACAAGGTGCTGAGAAGAAGAGCTGGCCATGACTCCTGTGGAGTTAGGAAGTAGGAGGAGGGCTTCTTCTTTGTAGTGGGAACTCTAGTTACAGTTTTCCTCATCTCTACCACCTACCCTGCACTGTGTAGCCCTGGAAATGCCACTCTGGCCTCCATACCCAGGCAAGCAGAGCAGGACTTTTCTGTGTCCCTACAAGATGGCAGCTTCTATAAGGTCAGTGCTGGGAGGCTTATGCTTGCTCCAGAAGCTTCTCAGATAAATAGACACAGATAGTGCTCATCTCTGAGTCAGGGTATGTTCCCATGTCTCTCCCTGGAGGAACAGCGAAGAACTTGGGTCATTTGTAGATAGCCTAACTGCAGTTGGTTATTTTGCTCTTTGGGGGCCTGTCACCCAGCTCCCAAATAAATGCAGGGAGACTTATTCTCACTTATGAATGCCCAACCTTAGCTTAGCTTGCTTTTCTAACTTAATTTATTCCCTTTCTCTTTAACTATGTTTTGCCTTTGGGCTTTTCTTTATATGTCTTTCTTTCTTACTCAGGGGCTGGCTGGGTGGCTGCTCCTGCTGTCCTCCTCTCCTCCTTTTCTTGCTTCTTCCCTCTTCTCTTTTTCTCCTTCTCTTTATTCTCTCTGCCTGGCAGCCCAGCCTATCCCTCTCCTGCCTAGCTATTGGCTGTTTAGCTCTTTATTAGACCAATCAGGTGTTTTAGGCAGGCAAAGTAATACAGCTTTACAGTTAAATAAATGCAACATAAAATAATGCAGCCTATCTTTGCATCATTGAACAAATATTCTACAGCATAGATGAATCTTAAACTAATATCCCACCTATGCTACCCGCTGCAGAGGAAGAATGTGCACATCAATGACAACGTCCTGCACTCAGCTTTCGAGGTGGGCACTCGCAAGGTGGTCTCCTGCCTGTCCACCTGTATCTTCCCTGACAAGACCACCTATCCTATTGATGAAACAATGGTGAGGGGCAGGGCCCCCTGGTGTAGGACCTGAGGGTATGGGCAGAGCCAAGTGAGGGTTCTCAGTGCATCTCCTTCTCCTCCAGATCCACAATGGTCCACCCCACAGCAGCAATTTTGGGTACTCGTATGCCAAGAGGATGATTGACGTGCAGAACAGGTGCTCCTTCTTGGTCTTGCCCAGGCCTCCTTGGAGAGGGGAGGATAGATCCTTGGGTTAGTGAGGCATTGGGAGGATAGATCCTTGGGTTAGTGAGGCATTGTTGCTGCCTCATTTATACAGTTTCAGAGGGAATTGGGGACACTGGGGCCCCATTCTGGTGATGAGGTCAGGAGACCCTGTCTCTGCAGGGCCTACTTCCAGCAGCATGGCTGCACCTTCACTGCTGTCATCCCTACCAATGTCTTTGGACCTCATGACAACTTCAACATTGAAGATGGCCATGTGCTGCCTGGCCTCATCCATAAGGTGCATCTGGCCAAGAGTGAGTGAAGCTATCCAGCACACGCCTGGCCGAAGGTTACCTGCCTGAAGGGGCCCTAAGCTCAGCTGTGGGGTGGCCAGGGAGCTGGCTCTGGCTGCAGAGCTCTGACACCTGCCCCATCTGTAGGTAATGGTTCAGCCTTGACTGTTTGGGGTACAGGGAAACCACGGAGGCAGTTCATCTACTCACTGGTATGTATAGGGACAACATGGCTGTCCCAGAAAACTGTGTGGGAAGTGAAGGCATAGGAAATGGTCCTTGAGCCTTGCCAAGCCCCCAGGGAATCAACTTTGGTTCAGTAGGAGAAAGTGTGGCCTGGATGAGGGACCTCCATCCTGGGTGAACCCTGACTGTGCCCCAAAGGAGCTGAAACAGCAGTACAACCTCCCCACACTAGGGGCATTTGGGATTTGACCTAACCTTTTGACCTCCAGGACCTAGCCCGGCTCTTCATCTGGGTCCTGCGGGAGTACAATGAAGTTGAGCCCATCATCCTCTCAGGTGGGCACTTTGCAGGTGTCATTTCCTATAGCAGGGCAGGACCTGTGTCTTCCCTAAGGAGTGGGATCAAACATGTCCCTAGGGATCTGGATAGGGAGGCCTAACTGACTGCTGACCTGTGGTTCCCCACAGTGGGCGAGGAAGATGAAGTCTCCATTAAGGAGGCAGCTGAGGCTGTAGTGGAGGCCATGGACTTCTGTGGGGAAGTCACTGTATCCTTTGACTCCAGGGATGGGCTGAGGCACTGTGGAGGGGCACTGTGGCTTCTCCTTGTAGGATGGCCAACATAATACCATTTTGTTTCTGGTGGTGGTGCTAACCCTGGCAGCAGGAGGGGATGTGCTGTGTCCCAGACCTGACCCAGGAAAAGACAGGTTCCAGGTAGGGAAAATGGGTAGTGCTCCTTCTGCTATAGCCTTGACCAAGGTGTCCAGTTTGATTCAACAAAGTCAGATGGGCAGTATAAGAAGACAGCCAGCAATGGCAAGCTTCGGGCCTACTTGCCTGATTTCCGTTTCACACCCTTCAAGCAGGGTAAGCTCCTATCCCTTTCAAAAACCTTTCACCCCCCTACCTGTGCTTCAGGCTCCTTGCCAGCTAGCCCTTAGCTTTAGTGCCAACTGCTTCTCCTTGTTCCCTGCTGTGGTCTCAGCCTCCATACTGTGACTGTGGAGGTCTGGTGCCCTGCAGGCTTGGTCACAGACCCTTACCAGAGCCTATATCCACTGGGAAGCAGGGCATTGTAGTTTAGTGCTGTTTTCCAGGAAATTGGGGAAAGAAGTGGAGAGGCAACTCTAGGATGAATTCAACCTTCCTTTGCCAGCTCAGGGTGGGTTCACCGCTACAGACTGAACCGCTTTCCCACGGCTCAGGGCTTCATGACTGTTCTCCAGTTTATACCTTAGCAAGTTGATTTCCATATCTCCAAGACATCTTAATTAAGCTTTCAAAGGAACAATGCCAAATGCAGATTCTCATCAGAAAATACCGTGGTTTTCCAGGTTGTCTCCCAACCAGGTTTTGCTTAGGCTTTGCACCTTTGGGAAACTCTCAGCTCCAACACTCAGGAGCTGGCTTCTGCTGTGTAGGAGTTCCCCCTGACAGTTTAGGTGTGTGTGTGTGTGTGTGGTGTGTGTGTGTGTGTGTGTGTGTGTGTGTGTGTGTGTGTCTAGGGGGGGAGCCTCAACCCTCTCTAACTCCTGGGGGTGGGGGACGATGGCATCACCGACTCTCATCTGTCTGCCTCTGCAGCTGTGAAGGAGACCTGTGCCTGGTTCACCGACAACTATGAGCAGGCCCGGAAGTGAAGCATGGGACAAGCGGGTGCTCAGCTGGCAATGCCCAGTCAGTAGTCACCACCCTCAAACAGTGAAGCATGGGACAAGCGGGTGCTCAGCTGGCAATGCCCAGTCAGTAGGCTGCAGTCTCATCATTTGCTTGTCAAGAACTGAGGACAGTATCCAGCAACCTGAGCCACATGCTGGTCTCTCTGCCAGGGGGCTTCATGCAGCCATCCAGTAGGGCCCATGTTTGTCCATCCTCGGGGGAAGGCCAGACGAACACCTTGTTTGTCTGCTTCTGCCCCAACCTCAGTGCATCCATGCTGGTCCTGCTGTCCCTTGTCTAGAAACCAATAAAATGGATTTTCATAAGCCTGGACTCAGAATCTGTGTCCAGCCTTCCTAGCTTTTCCAGTCCTGGGACCCACTGTCCCACTGTGTGCTACTTAGCTCCTAAGAGCTGGTAGGCCCAAGGCAAGAGTTCCCGTATGAAAGACTAGAGAGTGGAGATGTATGTATCAGGAAGAAGGCAGAACAGGTCAGTTGTGAACTGTCAGTGGGCTCAGGTATAGGGCAGGGTACCTCCCCAACAGTCTGAGCTGGATCTTGGTCATGCTTAGCCCTTCCGTTTGTGGTCACACACAGGCCTCTCTGCCTCAGACTTGAGGACCTTGGTGGATCTTGATTTGGACTGATTGACTTTGGGATTGTTTGTCGAGTCTTTGTCCAACGCAGCTCTGGGTCATTTTCAGACTCCCATTCTAGATTCCATTCACCTAACAGTGTTAGGATTTTTCCTTGTCCATGATGACATGGGGTTGGAAGCTACAAGCTCCTCAACTCCTCAGTCTTGAAATAGAGCTACCATTGTTCCTGAAGACTGGGGAGAGCGGAGGTGAGCATTTACTCCCAAGACTCAAGGGCATAGCTGCAGGCAGGCAGAGGAAAGGGTTGGCACCTGTGTTATACATTAAGACTGACTCATGAGCACCAGCCACATAGCTAAAACTGACACCAGACTGCTGGACCAGTCAGAGTTCTCTAAAGGAGCATAACTGTTATACATACATATATAGTGATTTATAGTCTGGCTCACATGATGTGCTCTGAATAGCCCGACAATGACTAACACTGGAGAGGCCAAGAATCCAGTACTTGTTCAGTCAGTGAGCTGGCTGGATGCCTCAGTAGTGCCAACCTGGCCTGGAGGACTCCTGGAGAGTTGCTGGTCTTCTGTATGCTTTGTACATTGGGATCCAAATGGGACTAGGTAGCCACAAACAGGTAAAAAAAAAAAAAAAAGTTTCCTTCCACGTCCTGTTATCTGGGCTGCCACCAGAAGGCACTGCCTTGGTTTAGGGTGGGTCTTCCTGCTTCAGATAACCTTATGAAAGTCCTTCCAAAGGCACTTGTGTGGTTTTTTTGTTTTTTTAAAGATAGGTTTATTTATTTATTGTGTATACAGTGTTTTGCCTGCATGTATCCCTGCAGTCCAGAAGTGGGCATCAGACTACATTACAGATGGTTGGGAGCCACCATGTGGTTGCTGGGAATTGAACTCCGGACCTCTGGAAGAACGGGCAGTGCTCTTAACCCCTGAGCCATCTCTCCAACCCGGCACTTGTGTTTTAGTTCATTCCAGATGCAGAGTTGACAGCCCTGACCTCCATGTCACCTCCCCCCAGAAACCCCACTGCCCTTTTCCCAGGTGATCAGCCTGTAGGCTGCAGTCTCATCATTTGCTCAGATTTCCTCAGCCCAGCCCAACCTTCTGCCACTCACCTCCCAGAAATATTAAAGATACCCAATTATTTTCCCCCATCCCACTAGCCCTTGGTCCTCAGCCTGCATCTGAGGCCTTTTGTCTTCCAGCAGGACAGTGCATGGCCTGCCTGGTCTTCCACCCTCTAAAAGCAACATTTGCTGTCCTCCTCTCCTATGTTGTCCTGCCCAGTATCCCTTTAACTCATGACTTCCCAGCCACCTCAGCCCCCACCCCATCTTCAGATTTCCTTTAAGCTTAGTCCTCTGATGTGAGTCCATGGAGGGGACCAGGGCTTTGAGGATGTACTCTCCCAGCCCTCAGGAAGAGCTAGCTGAGCTGATCAGAACTTGCCAGGCACTCAGTTGTCTAGGGCCACCAGTCTGTGCTAACTGCATCATCATGTCAAGGAACACACACTGTCCTACAAATCAGAATGCCTTGACCACTGTGACTAGGTAGCATGCATTTTCTGGCTGGCTTGAGGCCAAGTCTCAACCTTGAACATTTTCAGGTGCTGTTGGTTGCGGCCCAGAATACAGAAATTCCTTACACTTCTGTTTGTGTAAATGTTCCTTGTCCACCCACCTCTCCATGGACACTCCTGGGTAGGTTTTTTT